ACCTGATTTCAGGACCACTTTGAGTATTGTCAGTGCTTGTGATTTTCAGGATGAGACTCTGACAGAGGTAGGTGTATATGCATGACATGAAATAATAGAAGTGTGTTCATCAATTGATGAATGGATGAAGAAGATGATATTGATACCCACACATACACAGTGGAATACTATTGAGTTCTAACAAAAAGTCAGTCCTGCTATTAGATCAACATGGATAGACTTCAAGGGCATTATGCTTAGTGAAATAAGTGAGATAAATACCAATACTGGAAGATCTTGCTTAGGTGTAGAATCTAAAAAAACAAAACAAAACAAAACAACAACAACAAAAAAGTCCAGTAACAGAACACTTGTGATTGGCAGAAATAGTCAGTGCTGGTGGGATGAGGGTGGGGGTCAAGGAGAAAGTGGGTAAAAGGTACACATTTCCAACTAATGAGTTCTGTGAAATTAATGTTCACCATGACATTATAGCTAATCATATTGTATTTTATATTTTTAAGCTGTTAACAGATTAAGTCTTAAGTTTTCTTCACAGAAAAACAATTTTAATATGTGAGGTAATGGATGTAGTTTATGATGGTAATCACCTTATGTAATGCATTGATCATATGTTATAAGCATAATGGAACTACTCCAAGAAAACAATTTAAAAACTAAAGATAATCTCACTGAGCCACAGCATCTAGCTGTAGAAAAAGCCACAGCTACAGATTCAATCATCACTTTGCTTTGTTTGTACTGAGTCAGGTTCTCAATGTTCATGCTAGTTTACTGGTTTTCACAGCTACTCGACAAGACTAGTAACACTGTGTTGGTTTGTACTGAATATCACGGCATCAGAAAGTTCAGTGATGTGCTCATTCATGCCAGCTATTCCAACTTTACCAACCCTAGTTTAAAAACTTCTCTGTGACATCAGAGCCCTCCCTGGTGGTGCAGCGGGTTAAAGTACAGCACTAAGAAGCTAAACCCATTTGAGCATGAGTTCCATCCCAGCCCTGGAAGTGACCCATGTGTCATGGCAGACCTCTCCTGACCCACACGCTGCTCCCCTCAGCAGTGTACATTGTCAGTCAGCCTGTTCTGCTCCCTACTCTGTCTCTGGTGAATCCTCTCACCGCCCCTGCACCTCTGGCCTGTACCCCAATTCTGTATGCATAAATAAATCAATCTTTAAAAAAACAAACAAAAAAATCCTTCTCTGTGAAGTCAATTGTGAAGACTTTTTCCCCTCAAACATAGCAGGGGCTATGGTTCCCAAAAGATAAGTTTTTGGATGAGGTTGAGGGTAATATCCATGCTTTCTACAAAAAATGCCACTCTACTTGGCTTGACTTATTTTCCACCATTATTCCAAATGTGCGTTCCATACATGGTAGGACTGACCTCCCTACAAATGTTGAGATAGGCTTTCTATAAGTTGTCCAGAGCAGACTTTTTCCAGTAAATGTAACCTTGATCTGTATAACTTCGGTCAGTCGAGGCCTTATGGATTTTAGACAAACTTTTACCATGATCTTAACGAACACAGACTGCCAAGATTCGGAGTCATCTCCAAAACAATCTTTTGTTAGAAAATCCTATCTGCGGGCAGGGCAAACATCTACAGGCAAGGTGCTCTCATCAGGAGTCACCCTTTTTTCTTTCCCTTGACCTTAGATCTTGACCCCATTCCTTAGCTCTAGATATAAACCTGTGATTTATCCTATTAGCTTTAGAATTACAGCCTTGTAAATTCCCAATACATTTCCAATTAAATTGGTCTTTCCCCTCTAATGAATCAATGATGTATTTTGTTTGCTTGTCCAGAAAGGTGGGGGAATTTTCCCTGTGAGCTGACACCATCCAATTACTTCTCAACCTCTACCTTATCTGGTTTTGCTCACACCCTCCTCCCACAGCTCTCTTCTTTCCCCATTCATAATATTTACTCAATATCCACTTTAACCACCTATTGGGACGTTTCATGGTGAAACTGAGTCTCCTGTGTAAAGAGGCACTTATTCCCTTCATGACTATGAAGGACCAGTGCTCCAGGTTTGTGCTCTGGAGATTTCGCACCTGAGGGGGTGAGTTCCACTATCTTTTGTTATCCCCAAAATATACTGGAACATGTTTATGAAGTGACTCCAAGTTCTCTAGGGATGGATGCTCCAGGGCACATGATTCATGAGTCAATGTTTATATATAATCTCCAGAATCATTGCACTTAATCATTTAGTTGGCTTTTGACTAGAGGTAAAACTTCAGATAGAGTAGTATCATATTTAAAGAGACAGAGTCAATAGGTAAGAAAGTGCAAATTCTGCTTGTCTGACAATGGGCTTGTTTACAATTACTCTTACTGATAAGGGGGAGATGTTGTTCAAGTGATAATTCTGTTCTCAGGAATCACCAGATGGAACTGAAACACTTGAGTCAGTTTTTTTTTTTTTTTGTCTTCTCAGAGTAAGTTTCAGGCAATATTAGTGGTGTAAGTGCTTTAATATACTTGTTGAATTTCTGTTTGCAAATAGAAGGGAACTCAGTATATAGTCCAATTACTACATTTATCAATGGAAGACTGCAATCTTTTAATGGAGCGACCATCCCAAATATTTTCTGCCAGTGAGTCATCTAAGACAACTTATGTTTTAAAGTGTAGATCATGCATGTCAGCTGCTTTTTCCATCACAAAATTTGTTTTGTGTGTGATTACATAGGGCTAACATTCAATCGTTACCATGTGCCAGTCTTCCTCCCACCTTTTTCTTTAAACTAAGGTAACACTAGTTCATATAATTGTCTGTGTATTAGAAGTAAAGACTCTCCCCTCTCGGATGTTATTGCCACACTGTACCCACCAGCAAGACATCCATAGTCCCCGACCATAGTCCATTGTGCTCCCTCCCCACCTTGCTCTTCCCCTGTCTCCCCTTCCCCCTCTGCTAACTTCTGTTCTGTAACTAGCTTTCTAGGGTAAGTTCTTAGCTTGACTTTATTGGATATTTTTTGTTTGTTTCTCTTTGTTCCATATATAAGTGACATCATCTAGTATTAGTCTTTCTCCTTCTGATTTATTTTGCTTAGCATAATTCCTTCCAGTTCCATTCATGTTGATGCAAATAGCAAGAGTTTATCTTTTTTTGATAGTTAAGTGGCATTCCTTTGTGTGTGAGTATGTGTGTGTGTATGTAGTAAGTATCTGTCTATCTTCCTGATCCCCTCATCTGTATATGATAACTTACAAAACTTCTGTAAGTTGATGTACTTTAATTCAGTCAAAGGTATTGTCTTTCTTTAAAGGATACTATATATTTTCTACCTTAAAACCATATTCCCTTTTAATATTTGTAAGTGAGTACACATTGTTCTTTCTTTGCCCATTAGAAATGAATTTAAATATTTAACCCTGTAAACATATTTGTATTAATTTAAGATTTTGACAACAAAAATAATTGTTAAGCCTAATACACACATTTGATTATAGAAATGACTGTGGGGATGTCCAGAAACAAGTCAGCTTGATGTCCACCATCTACTAACATTCCAGTGACTTTCACTAGACAACATGTGTCTTCAGTTTGACCAGTCTGCTTCCTGGCTTCCCAAACTCACAGTTAACTTCCACTGGTTCTGACAACATCACTCAATGACCAGTAGGTATGCATTCTAATGCTAAGCTGTCCTTAAATAATTTTGACTTGAGCGAGTCGGTCATCATCCTTCTTTATATTGAATGTCCCCTCTACCCAAAGCTTTAAGTGGCTGGTTCCTCCCTACTCAGCACCTGTCTTTCTCTCATTGAAGTTTCTAAAGCATTTATTATTACACTTGCTTTTCAACATTGCTTTTCCTTTTCATTTCATTTTCATAAGAGACAGTCTCTATCCTATAGAGTCGTCATTTTCCTGTTTTTTTCCCCCCTTCATTTATTCTGGAAATAATGGCTTAGTATATAGCTGTACCACATTGTGAAGCTAGAAAAAAACAAAAGAAAATATTTACTGTACTGACTGTACATTCTAGTGAGGGAGTTAGATTATGTATATGTAAATGAAATTTCAGTCACCAGTAGTGAAAAAGGAATGCCAGCTATGAGTTGGGAGTTAGAAAGACCGTGTTGAGGAGTGAGGTAGTGTGGTCAGTTGTCTGCTGAGCTGTAAGATAAAAGGATGTCTGATATTAAGAGTCTAAAACATACTAGGAGCTACAGAGGTTTTTGTTGAATAATTAATAATTAAGAGAAAACTGACAAGAAATTTAATGGGAAGCAAGTTTATAATGACCAAAAAAAGGGTTTTTCTTACATCATGATGGTCATAAAAATAAACAATAGAGAACTGGCCTCCAGTATTTCCCTTCTGTTCAACTACATTATAGTTCTTTAGACATAGCCTGAGTAAAACTCAATAAACCTAAAGTCAACCCACAAAATTTAAATAGAAGCACCTAAAACAACAACCCTGTTGTGTGTTTCTACTGGGTATTGTCACACTTAGCCAGGTTATGTACAATTATTTTGAACTAATGAATATGTATAACATATATATATACATATATATCATCTTTGCTGTACTTTTAATTATCAGATTTTTTAATCAGTTTGAATGCATGTGTTTCCTATTGACCTTTCTTTTATTGTGTTATTAATATCAATTTGGAAAAAATGGATTATACCTTTAATAATATGTTATGAATGAGGTCTAAGTACAAATATTTCTTTTTGTTTAAGGCTAATTTAGCTCTCATATTACAGTTGCAATAAAATTTTGTATTACTTCATGCTTTTTGGACAATATTTCTGAGCTAGACTTCAATTCTCCCTTTTTATTTGAAAGAGCCATTAAACTGATTAGTTGGCTAGTCTCCAAAATCACTAGGTAAATTTCTGTGGGTATGGGCTCCTCTGTAACAATTCTGCCAAGACTATAGGGTGAATGAAGAGGCAGACTCTGAGATACTGGAGTGACTTCATACTTTTGCAACTGCATCCATAAAAACACTCAGCTGTTGAAATGAAAAGGCAGAATCAGAGCACTGTGGTTGAATTCATCCTCTTGGGTTTTTCTAACTATCCTGAACTGCAAGAGGAACTCTTTGGGGTTTTCTTGGTGATTTACCTGGTGACTCTGATGGGAAATGCCATCATTATAGTTGTCATCTCCCTGGAACAGAGCCTCCATGTCCCCCTGTACCTGTTTCTCCTGAACTTGTCTGTGGTGGAAATGGGTTTCACTGCAGCGATTGTGCCTGAGATGCTGGTGGTCCTCTCCACGGAAAGAACTACGATTACTTTTGCAGGCTGTTTTGTACAGATGTACTGTATTCTCTTTTTTGGTGGGACCGAATGTTTTCTCCTGGGGGCAATGGCTTATGACCGCTACGCTGCCATCTGCCATCCTCTGAACTACCCAGTGATTATGAATGAAAGTGTTTTCACAAAATTAGTAATGCTCTCATGGGCTACTTGGATCCTGGTGGCTACTGTGCAGACCACGTGGGTATTTAGTTTTCCCTTTTGTGGCCCCAATGAAATCAATCATCTCTTCTGTGAGACTCCCCCAGTGCTAGAACTTGTATGTGCAGACATCTTTTTCTTTGAAATCTATGCGTTCACTGGCACCATTTTGATTATCTTGATTCCTTTCCTGTTGATACTCTTGTCTTACACTCGAATCCTCTTTGCCATCCTGAAGATGCCATCCAACACAGGGAGGCAGAAGGCCTTTTCCACCTGTGCCTCCCACCTGACTTCTGTTACCCTCTTCTATGGCACGGCCATTATGACCTATTTACAGCCCAAGTCTGGCTACTCCCCTGACACCAAGAAAGTGATGTCACTGGCTTACACGTTACTCACACCTCTGCTGAATCCACTGATCTACAGCTTGAGAAACAGTGAGATGAAAAGAGCTTTCATGAAATTATTACGAAGAAGAGTTGATTTACATACATTTTGATGGTTCTGAAATTCATGTGGTAGTTGGTTACTGCCTGACTGAACTGAATTTCCATTTACTGATGCTGAAATTAGTTTGCATTTCTTTATATGATATATTTTATTTTTGAGCTATAAAGTTTGAACATATATCAGGAATGTCTCTGTTTTGATAGTCAATTGACTTGTTTTTTTTAGAGATGTAAATATTTTGAGTTATAAGAATTTTTTTTATATGTTCCTCTAATATGAACATCCAGGCCATTTCTGGATTCCTACTAGCATCAAAGAATTTCAATAAATTATCTAGCGCCATATGCTTATAGGTACTGATATTTTATTTCCTTATAATAGATTCCTCAGGATAACTGGTGGACATAGATTAGATATTGTAGAAGTAATCTCTAACTGTTGTTGACAGTCTTATTGATGCAAGGAAGATGATTTCCTTGGGAAAGAAAATTTTCCAGGAAAGCAACTTAAGACACAGAATAGGCTAGCAAAAGGAGGAAAAAAATAAAAATATATATACAAAAAATAACACGAGACGTACAGAATAGCATAAAGAGAATATCATTTGTATCATAGGGTTCTGAAAGAAGAAGGAGACAAAGGGATGGATATATTATCTGAAGAAATAATGGCCAAGAATTTCCTTAACATGGGGAATATGATATTTAGATTCAGCGCTCAGAGTTCCAAACAAAAATAAAGCCAGACATATCCCTGAAGAGAGAATCCTAAAAGCTAAACAGATAATAAATAAGAAAACAAGAGCATTAAGTAATGAACAGGACCAGTCTGTCTTAATAGACATAGAATATTCCATTTCAAAACAGCAGATTTCACATTTTCCACAAGTGTACCTGAAATATAAGCAAGGATTGATTATATGTTGGGCTATAAAACAACAACAAATTTACAAAGATTAAAACCGTGCTTAAGATCTTTTAAAATAACTATCGTCCCAAACATATCTTATGAAGATAATATTACCAGAACTTGATAGAGACATCACACAAAAGAAATTACAGACCAGTGTCTCTAATGACCATGTAAAGACTCTCAATAGAATACTGGCAAATGTAATTTAACAATCTAACAAAAGGGTCATACACCATGACAAAGTGGGATTAGTTCCAGGGATGCAAAGATGGGTCAGCATAAGCAAGTCAATTCATGCATGCCACATCAACAAAAGGAAGTACAAAAATCATATGATACAGAGAAAGCATTTAACAGCATTAGCATTTATTTATGATACAAACTCTCAATAAAATGAAGATAGAAGAAACATAATATAATAAAGATCATATGTTAAAAGCTAATGCCAACAGTGAAAAAAATAAAAGCTTTTCCTTTAAGGTCAGAAATAAGGCAAAGTTGCACACTCTCATCATTTGTTTTTAACTTAATATTAGAGATCTGAGCCAGAATAATCAGACAAGAACAAATAAAAGGAATCCTGATTGGAAAAGGAAAGAAATTATCATTATTTGTAGATGACATGATAATATACATGATAAACCTAGAGGTGCCGCTAGCCGCTAAAAAGCTATTTAAAACCATAAACCAATACAGTAAAATTATAGACTTCAAAATTGATGCCAAAAAATTAGTTGAATTTCAATATATAAGCAATGAGCTAAGAAAAAAGAAATTAAGAAAACAATAAGAATTAAACACAGAACCTTAACAGAGGAGGCAAAAGTACTGTCACCTGATGGGGCAGCAAATGTGGGAGCAGCATAGGATGGAGAGAGAAAACAATTCAAAGTCCAAGAAGGGAGAGGGAGAGGG